TTAAACTGTGAAGTTTGGCTGACAGCACAACATACCAGTTACTCGAAAAATTCTTGATAATAACACTAGCATACTTTGTAATGAACGTCGTCCCTCAAGACTCAAAATAAAAGAAGCTATTCTCATCGTCAATAATAAACCAACAATCAACACGCAGTCAGACAATTTCGCCCACGTCTTACAACTTTTTACTCAATATCGCGACGTTGTACTGCCTCAGTTGCCAAACGTCATCAATAGACAGCAACTACACACCAAATATAAATACGAATATAACACACAAGAACGCACCATTAACAACAATCCGTTTGTCTCTTCACGCCATAAAACTCAAACAATTTGTTCACTAACTTCATTATTTGCCACGCCTTAATATTTCTTTATACATATTTATTGCTATATAACATTATATCCAATTGTTAAATATCTAATAATTCTTGAATAAACTGTCATATCATTAAATATTATTATCGACTTTCCATAATTTCTGCATTACTTCTCGTCACTATGCTAACCATGTACACTTCAACTACGATAATACACAAACAATGTTACTCATAATTTTTCTTTTAAATTTATTCGTTTATTTTCAACAATATAATGAGTTAATTATAAAATATAGGTTGTTATATAGGTTGTTATTCATTTATTTATTCATTTTAATATCTAATATTCTATTTTCTATTTCTTATAATTTATATTATTAACTCCTCATTTGGTTTTACAATCTAGGCTCCGACGATGGCATCAGCCGAAACGGCCGTCAGCCAAACTTCACAGTTTAATAAAGTTGAAACAAAACAGCTTCGTGCTGTTGAAATTTTATTTAAAAAACTTCTAACTGCAAAATGGGGTGTAATCTTCAACCGAACATGTTTATCTGAGAACCTCATACCAAATTATATATATATATATATATACATATATATATATATATATATATATATATATATATATATATACGTGTACAATTAAAGGCGTTCAATTCAACACTGTGACACAGAGCCACGAAATATACCACGAGAACCCAGAGTTGGCCTTGTCGCATGATCACGCACATTTAACCGTCTTTCTATTCTTCTCTATTTTGGGCTATTTCTGGTTCAGGCCCAGTGCCCTCATGTTTTTTGACAACACTTCTTTCCAGCTTGGGTCTGCCACTTTTTTCTAAATCGCCAGTTATAATAGTTCTACTGTACTCTACCCAATCCTTATTTGCTTTCCTTTCCACATGGCCGAAACATTTCAGTCTCATACCTCTAACTACATTTGACAACTCATCTAACCTAATCCTTTTTTTATTACCTTATTACTTAGACAATTCCTCAACCATACTTCCATTATCCTTCTCAACATCTGCATTTCTGTTCTTTCCAGCCTTCTCAAGTTTTCAGCCGCACAGCCCAAGCTTCGTCTTACTTAGACCATTTATCCTGGTTCTTTTATACATACCTATCATTGTGTTCACCAACCATTCTTTTTACCCCGCCTTAGTGGCGGAAAAAGCGGTAGAGGAAACAAAGAAAATTCTACATTTATACTGATTTTGATAATGCTTTCGATAAGGTCACTCATGTTAGTTTGATTAAGAAACTTTTTGACTATGGTATGAATGGGTATATTGTAGAATGGATTTCGGATTATCTTAAAGATAGAACTCTTGTGGTTAGAGTGGATGGAAGCATATCTGATCGTTTTAAAAAGGATAGCGGGATTTCACAGGGAATTGTTTTAAGTCCTGTGTTGTCTGTTATTTATGTGAATGATATTTTTTATATTTGTAAATAGGATTCTGGGATAGGCCTGTATAATGTGTATGCTGATGATGCTAAGATATGTAGACATGTTTTTTGTAATAAAGATAGGGTGGTCCTACAGCTAGCTTGTTTGGATGATTTGAATGAATGGGGTATAAAATGGGATCTGAAAAAAAATGTTGATAAATGTATCTCTTGTATTTTGGGCACGCATAGTGCTAAGTGTCCATATAAAAACAATGATTTTGCTCTGGATGAAGTAGACACCGTTAAGGATTTAGGTGTCTTGTTTGAATATGATATAAAATTTTATAAGCATATTTATACAACAATAAATAAATGCAGCTCAATTTTAGGCTTCATTAAAATACATAAAAATGTATCTAAAGATTCATTTTTAACAGTTTATAAATCTTTAGTCAGGTCAAATATAGAGTATGCGGTGTGTGTGGTCTCATTGGTCGCTGGAGGTTATAGAATACATGGAACGTACTCGGAAGAGGAATATTAATATGGTTAAAAATTGCAGGGGATTGAGATTTCTCTCCCTACCAGCAATAAGTTACGAACGTCTCAGGGGCGATCTCATTTTGGTGTGTAAAATAAGAGATCAGAATCATTCTACCTGCTATCCATTACTGAAGAGACCTAACGACAAATGAACAAAGGGTCATTCATTTAAGTTTATAACTTTAATCTGTTTTATAAACTATGATGATTAATTTACTGAAGAGCTATAAAACCCCAATACATTCTGCAATTCTATATTTTTGCAAATTATTAAACAGACTGATGATGATAGTCTAATACAATTTGATAACATTGATATAATACATCATTAAAATTGTTAATAATTAATTAACTGATAACATTAACATAATTACTAAGTGATTAATTAATTGACAACATCGACGAAATTATCAACTTAATCTGTGATTACTTGTTGCATTTTCCATGGTTTGTCGTGATAAATTCTTGACTGAAAAATAACGTTCGGATTCTTTGGCAACCTTAAAGCTAAATCCTGTAAGTTACAAAAGTAAACAATTTATTCAATAAAAATTATAATTTATACCCTAAAAACATTTAAAAGAGATCAAATCTGATACATACTTTAAAAAAACTATGAAAAAAGGATTAAGCTTAACAATGAGAAAACACTGGGGTGATAATGCTCATTCAAATGTTCTGGTTCTGCAACAAAGTAGAAATGTCAACAGCCTACAAAAAAATTGAAGTGTATTGAGAACCTTCTTAGTTTTTTGTTTGAAATATTTAAGATGCATCAACAAACATTGAATTTAGGTAATTGCGTACCCACATATAAATTTAATTTTATCATCATCATAAGACACTGTAAGAAATGACTGAACAGAACGCAGGCAAATTAGATCAATAGAAGGGTTGACATGAGTACAAGGTTCTCCCTTCTTCAACTAAAATATTTTGCCAGTAATTATTGAAAGCATACTTCTTTTAAAACAAGAGCATTTTAAAAAAGAGATTTTATAAAAATCATTTTTTACAAGTTTTAAAGGGATTTCAGGTTTTTGGATCTTCAAGTATCTCTAGCCAAGAAAACGATTCAGACGTCTATCAGTTTATGGTCATAAGATTATGGTTCAAAACAAATTTGAAAAATATATATCAATAAATTTATTGCATATTAAATACATAAAAACGTAAATCCTTAAAATTTTTGATCAAAGATTTAAGAAAAAACTTAAAAATTGTAGTTTTTGAAAAACAGATTAATCAGTCTGTTTGAAATGACCACTAAAATTTGAAAACTCCGTAAAATGAATAAATATGCAGAAATAAAATAGACAACAAACTTAATATTATATATTATTGAAAAACAAACAAAACAAATTAAATAAGTAAAAGAAAATGAGAATAAATAAAATGAAACAAAATGAGTGAGGAAACCTAACAAAAGTTGGAAAAACAAAGACTGAATAAAAAACTGATGAAACAGATGTTCCAAATAAAAAAACTCATAAATGAACAAATGTGCCAACAAACAAAAAGTGAAAATAATTAATAGGATGACAAAACAAACATACAGCTTCTTGCACAGCGTTGCCAGTCAACGTCACCATGCACTTGACAGCATGCACCAAACTAATATGTAAAAGTTTTAATCACGTTTTTTTATAAATTTATTAACTTGAATATTATCCATCCTTTAATCAACTTTAGATATTAAATAAACAACTAAAAAACAGCAAATTTAACGAGATAGATGATGAAAGTTATTTTAACCATCTATATAAAATTGATAAAGAAAAAAAAATTAGGATTAATGATTGAAACAAAAATAAAAAATTTTCACCTCAATAACACGTGGCAAATTTTTAAATAAATAATTTAAAGGTATATCACATGTGAAAAGAAATGTATTAATTAATTATTTAATTAATCGATCAATCAATCAATCAATTATAAACACTTATCAACGCCAGAAACTAATAAAACTTGACAAATAAATAAATAGTTATTTATTTAGTACTATTATTAGTAGTAGTATTTTAATTATAATTAATAATAAATTAAAAATTTAATTAATTAATACATCCGTTAAGCAATTTTTGTTACTTTGGATTAGTCAGCATGAACTTCTCACATTTTTTCATTACACAGGTGGCTTTGGTATGTTATAAATGAAACAAACAGTTAGTTTAGTTTATATTATATGATAGAAAATAAAAATGAGCACTAAAATATAAAGCATGAAATGATTAAATGAGCTCACTGATTAAAATAAAAACATCTAATGTACTATTCTATACAATGCATAATTCAAGCAGCACAAGCAGTACAACAATCAAGATGTGTTACCATTTCAACAAAAACTGAAATATGAAAAGCAATTTTTATTAAAATGACTTTTGTAACTACAAACTATCAAATGAAATAATACAAAGTAGAAACATCATTTATTGTGAGCTTTATTAGGCGTCAGATAATATGAACGCCTATCTGTCGATGATTATGAAAGACAGCATTGAAAGAAAGAAGGTGGAAGTTATAATTGGTGGAGGTGAACCGAATTTCAATTGGTGAATTGGAGATTGAAATATTGTAATGGTTAAAAGCCGAAATTGGTCCTGGGCATGACATAAAACTGCATCCACGCTGCCTTGCGTGCTTTTGAGCGAAAGGCTAGGCCCACCGCTTATAACTGGTGGTTGTCGTCAGGATGGGTGTCTGGATGTAAAAACTTTTCCCCTAATTACTCTTATGCCATCACAAAGAAAAACAACGGCCCCTAGTCCCCAGCAGGCCTTAAGTGGTCAAGGGGTGCCAAGAATCCCTGGGAAGTATGAAATAGCGGAGGGATGTTGCAGAAAAATTCAGAATGGCCCCTCTATGGTACTTAGACTTGGAACGCTCAATGTTGGATCACTGACTGGCCGCAGCATGGAAATCGCAGAAATGCTCGAGCGTAAAAAGATTGACATCTGTTGCCTTCAGGAAATCCGATGGAAATCGAATGGTGTCTGTCATGTCAACTCAGACAAAGAAAAATATAAACTAATTTGGAATGGTCAAAAGACGGCCAAAAATGGTGTTGGAATTTTTGTCAGAGAACCGCTAGTCCAAGAAGTACTAGATATTAAAAGGATTAATTCACGTCTCAAGTGGATCAAGCTTCGCATAGCAAAGCAAACAATGATTATTTTTTCTGCATACGCACCACAGACAGGCAAATCAGAAGAAATGAAAAATGACTTCTGGGCTGCGTTCTCTGACACCATCTCAACAATACCAAAATCTGAAACAATCCTGATTGGAGGCGATCTCAATGGCCACGTTGGAAAGAAAACAGATGGTTTTGACAACGTACATGGCGGTTTTGGCTATAGAGAACGGAATGAAGATGGCAACCGCATCCTTGAGTTTGCTGAAAGTCACGGGTTTTGTTTACTGAACACATATTTTAGAAAAAGGTTGGAAACACCTTATAACATACAAAAGTGGACTATCAGCCACGCAAATTGATTTCTTCGCTGTCAAGCAACAACACCGAAGGCTATTCAAAAATATCAAAGTTATACCTGGCAAATCATGTGTCGCCCAACATAGACTCCTTGTGGCAAACCTGATTGTCGAACTGTCACAACATAAGTCTAAACAAATGCCTCGGAGAATCAAAACGTGGAAGCTGAAAAGCAATATTCATTGAAAAAAATTTCAACAGATTGTCGCAACACAGTTAGACCACCAATTGCAAGTCAGTACAGATTCAGGTACATACAAAATCGTTTTGATAAACATTGCAACTACAGTTTGTGGGAAAACTGGTACAAAACGTCAGCATGAACGGGACACTTGGTGGTGGAATGACAGTGTACAAAATGCAATAGCTGAAAAGAAAGCTGCATACAAGCAATGACAAAAATCAAAGTCTGTTGATGACCATTAAATTTTCCGTGAGAAGAACTATCCAAGACGTCAAGTCGCACTGGCTCGGACAGATCAGTGCAGAGAGTAGCTCACTAAAAGCAAAAATGATCAAATGAATTCTCTGTATCGTATAGCAAAACAAGCAAAGCATACGAAAAAAGACATAGTTGGTGCCTTATGTATCAAAAACGACAAAAATAAGATGGTTCTTGAACAAGATGATATCAAGCTACAGTGGAGAGAATACTTCAACCGTCTGTTAAATGAAACAAATCCCATCAATGTCAACTTTGACCACACATCGAAGGTCCGATTCCAGACATCACTGTAGAAGAGCTTACAGAAGCTCTAAAAGCTATGAAGGATGGAAAGGCAGGAGGGCCCTCTGGACTCACAAATGACATTATCAAAGCATCTGGTAAGGCAGGTATCCAAACGTTACTACAACTTTGCCGTTAAGTGTGGAGAAATTGCTCAATGCCGACTGAATGGAACTATAGCATGATAGTTCCGCTATACAAAAGCAAAGGTGATCCATTGAACTGTTCATCATATCGGGGTATACGCCTGCTAGAACACTCCCAGAAAATTTTCGAGAAATTCATTGAGAGAAGATTAACGTCGTGCATCACAATCGGAAATTATCAATTTGGTTTCCTAGCGGGGAAATCAACAATTGATGCAATTCACATCCTTCGCAACTGCAAAAGAAGTACCTCGCAATGCATCAACAACTATCACACATTTTTGTAGACCTTGAAAAAGCATTTGATCGAGTTCCCCGTGAAGCAATCAGGTGGAGTCTACGTCAACAACTCATTACAGAATATCTTGTTCGACTTGTGATGGAAATGTATACGAATACTAAGACTCTTGTCAGCACAACGGTTGGAAACACAGATGCATTTGACATCGGCGTTGGAGTTCACCAATACTCGATTCTCAGTCCACTGTTATTTATAACTGCGATGAAAGAAATCACAAAACCGATACGAACTGGTGACATTTGGAATCTTATATATGCTGATGATATCGTTTTAACAGTCACGTCTGAGCAGAATGCAGCAAAGATGTTTGAAGATTGGAACACAAGACTCGCCTATCATGGATTCAAAGTCAACATCAGCAAAACCAAAACAATGAACACTGGTGAACCCATCCAATCCACAGCTACTGGACGATGGCCCTGTTCAGTTTGTAAAGCTGGTGTAGGTAACAATTCAATCAAGTGTCAGCAGTGTAACCAGTTGTGTCACAAACGTTGTTCAAAAATAATTGGTTCTTTATCTAAAGTGTCCAATTTTGTTTGTCCTGCTTGCATCAATCCACAACAACAAATTCAAAATAGCAATGTTTTTGAAGCCATTAAGGCAAAGATAGTCACATAGTTTCACTATCTAGGGGATGTTCTAGATTGTACTGGAGCAGCTGAAGCTGCCGTTCGAGCATGCATACGTGCAGCCTGGAATAAATGGCATCTCCTTGCCTCTATATTGATGCGGCGTGACATCCCACTACCACTACGATCAAGACATTATAAATCTATGATACTCCGGTGTTGTTATATGGTGCAAAAACATGGCCAAAGACAACCAAACTGGAACAACAACTTTAACGAACCGACATGAAAATGCTACGATGGATGCAACGAATTATTCTGAAGGACGACATCAAATCTACCAAAATCCTGCGTCGTGCTGGTTTAGATGATATAAAAACCGAATGCCGGCAACACCGTCTGCGGTGGTTTGGTCATGTCAAACGAAATGGAAACAGTGCCATAACTTCTCTTTCAGATGTTGAAGTACCTGGCACACGTCCCAAAGGCCGTCCAAAGAAGTCCTGGTCGCAAACAATCGAGCAAGACATGAAAGCTCTAAATTTAAATGAAATGGATACAACTGATCGTTTAATTTGGCGCAAAAAGTTGATAGCAAAGAAAACAAAGACCTACCTCGAGAAACTGGGTCTCTGGACGCTAAACGAAGATTGATTGATTGATTGATGTTGCTTTAGCACTGAATAGAATAAACCTGTCAGATAGAAAGTTTACAGTATTAACACCAGCTATTGCACAAGCTAGTGAGCAAGACATCAGGGATACATCTCTGTCACGACCCACAGTTTAACGTAAACGACAGCAACATCGATCAACTATTGGCAGCAGTATTTGCCAACATTTTCAGGATAGTGACGGAAACCCACTTCTAGTTCACTGGGATGGGAAGATCATGAATGATGCGACAAACACTGATAATCCACACTCCAGAACTGATAGAGTGGCTGTTGGTGTGACTGGCTGTAATATGGAAAAAATCTAAGAAATTGTTAAAATTGCATCAAGCACGGGACAAGCACAAGCCAATGCAATTTTTAAATTGCTCAAATTATGGGACGTTAGTGAAGACATTATAGGCATGTGCTTTGATACTACCGCTGCCAATACTGGAACGTCAAGTGGAGCATATGTTTTGTTGGAGAAACTGCTCCATAGAAATCTCATGCACTTTGCTTGTCGTCATCACGTACATAAATTGATAATCGGTGAAGTTTCCACAGTTCTGTTTTGTCTAATAGAATGTTTGAAAAATTTCGAGCCTACTGGCCAAATATAAATCAGTTAAACCACAAGCCACTTGATGAAGACAGGATGCTACAGATGATGCGGCCCGACAGTACCATCTTTGACATGTTTTCTTGTAATTCCCATCAACTAGCGTGAAAATCCAGTCTGTGTTGTTTTTTTGTGTGCTGCTAAATTTTTGAATGCCGAACACATGCTCAAGCACAAACATACACACAACTACATACAAAGGCATGCTGCTCTTAGAAATCACGCTAAATAACAAGCAAAACAATAAAAATCATACAAACCATCATTTCTTGAGCTGAAGTTTTCTGGTAACATCTGTCAAATTCAAGAATTATAAAACAAATAAAATAGTGTTTTATTAATTTAGTGATTTTTTTGATTATACAAAATTACAATGATATAGAGACCATACAATACACCAACAAAACTGACGAGAAAATAGTTTTTGAATAACAAGCATCACCCACGATGAATATTTCTTCAAGTTCCGTCAGCAAATTCTCAAATTCTTCTCCCTTAACAACTTCCAACTCTCTGCACTGATAAGATATGATGATGAAAAATAATGAACACAAGTTATTTCCTAGCTTCACAAATGTGGCATCTCAAATAAATAAGTCAAACAGGTAATTAGATAAGTTGCCTAACATTAAATTAAAATTAGACTAACAGAAATTACCGAAATATTATATAGAAAAAAAGGAGATATCTCTTTTAAGAGATAAGAGGGAGATCTTATGTATAATGTGTATGTATTGCATAAACACATTTTATTACAAAAAACTTATCCCTGATCAACATGCCACTATGATCATGGCATTTCCTTTTTATTTATTTATAATTATAATAAAATAACAAATAAAAGGCAATCCTCCAGTTAAGTTGCCAAAATTTTTACTATTATTAAAAATGTAATTACCACACATGTTTACTAAATATTAACAAATTGAACGTAAGAAATGTTTAATGAATGGTTTATGGAGACGTGTCACAGTTAATAATTGTCACTAATTGCGGACATGGAACAATTGAACATGTCTCTTTCTCCGAACTTGTTTCTAAAGACGAATTCATGCATATAAGGTAAGACGGAAACAATTCCCTTGATGTTGCTTACTAGAGAAGGAATTTTCTATTGGCTTGGCTCCAAACATTATTAATATTTCATGTGGGAATTTCTGCATTATTGAGATTTACGAAATTTTGCTAGTTTATCACTACTGAGTGCATATGTACTACACCTCGTATGCTGCCGATGTTAGAATACGGGGCCCAACCAACTGAAATGATGTTTGAAACTGGCAAGATATGCTGCACAATTAGCGGTTCAAGTATTATAGCTTTCTGAACAGGAACTTTCACAAAAAAAAACTTTCTCAGTGACTCTCTCATCATAAATAATAAATCAATAACATAGAAACGTGAATAAAAATACCATAGCAATAACAATTCCACTTTAAAAATTTTGCTGTGTACCATGTAGAAATTTGAGCACCTAAATTGGAGGATTCTCAAATAAATATTATTATAATAAATAATTATAAACAAAAAATTATTTGGTGATGGTAAAGAATTATTTCCTAAAGTGGGTGTCAGGAAATTTTTTATTTCCCCCTTGTAAATTTCCTCCTGAAACTTTTCTCCCGGGAAATACCCCTGGAAATTTAAATTACGCCCAAATTAAACAAAATTTAAACTCGAGTGTACACATTCATTTTAATTCTTTTATTAATTTTTTTAGTTTTTTCAATTTATTTACATTCATTTGATAAATTACAATAAATTAAACCAGACTTAAAAATACACAGAAAGTGAAACAAAAAAAAAATAAGAAAAATAACTGATATAGATCTAGATGGATAAGAATACTAAATTATACAATACGAAAAATTAAAATAATCAGATGGATACAAATACAAAATTATGGAATAAAAACAATCAGAATGGATACAAATACCAAATCATGAAATACAATGAATTAAAATAATAGGAATGGATACTAACACTAAATTATGAAATACAATGAATTAAAATAATCAGAATGGATACAAATACTAAATTATGGAATAAAAATAATCAGAATGGATACAAATACAAAATCATGAAATAAAATGAATTAAAACAATCAGAATGGATACAAACCCCCTCAATCAATCAATCTTCGTTTAGCGTCCAGAGACCCTAAATCGTTTTCTTTGCCATAAATTTTTTGTGCCAAATAAAACGATCAGTTGAATCCATTTCATTTAAATTTAGAGCTTTCATGTCTTGCTCGATTGTTTGCGACCAGGACTTCTTTGGACGGCCTTTGAGACGTGTGCCAGGTACTTCAACATCTGCAAAAGAAGTTATGGCACTGTTTCCACTTTGTTTGACATGACCAAACCACCGCAGACGGTGTTGCCGGCATTCGTCCTTTATATCATCTAAACCAGCACGTCGCAGGATTTCGGTAGGTTTGATGTGGTCCTTCAGTCTAATTCGTTGCATCCATCGGAGCATTTTCATGTCGGTTTGTTGAAGTTGTTGTTCCAGTTTGGTTGTCTTTGGCCATGTTTCTGCACCATATTACAACACCGGACGTATCATAGATTTATAAAGTCTTGATCGTAGTGGTAGTGGGATGTCACGCCGCATCAATATAGAGGCAAGGAGAGGCCATTCATTCCAGGCTGCACGTATGCATGCTCGAACGGCAGCTTTAGCTGTTCCAGTACAATCCAGAACATCCCCTAGATATTGAAACGATGTGACTTTCTCTACCTTAATAGCTTCATAAACATTACTATTTCGAATTTGTTGTTGTGGATTGATGCAAGCAGGACAAACAAAATTAGACACTAGATAAAGTACCATGCTATAGTTCCATTCAGTCGGCAATGAGCAATTTCTCCACACTTCGCGGCAAAGTTGTAGTAACGTTTGGATACCTGCAGTACCAAATGCTTTGATAATGTCATTTGTGAGTCCAGAGGGCCCTGCTGCCTTTCCATTCTTCATAGCTTTCAGAGCTTCTGTAAGCCTCCTCTACCGTGGAATTGGACCTTCGATGGGTGGAGCGTCAAAGTTGACATTGATGGGGTTTATTTCCCTTCAAAGAAGTCATGGAGCAATTACTTCCAAAAAGTAAAATTCTATTTCCATCAATTACTTCACTGTAAAATAACAGAAATTGCTTATTGTTTGATAACTGCGTGTATTCTTAGAAAATGGTGAAAATTAGATCTTTAGGAAATAGATGTGGCATTACCTCTCTGTCCCTGAAGCCTAATACACCATCTAACATTTTTCATTGAGACCATCAGCACCAAAGCAGCTTGAAACAAATTTTGGAATGCATCAGTTAGAATCTGTTGCACTGTTTCATGACTTTCAACTGCCCATCTTTTTACACTTTAAACTGCTCTCATCATTTCCCATAGCGCATAACTGTGTTCATTTAAATAACCCACTATTGACATGTTTGCATTCAATTTCACTTTTGCTCTACATGCAGTTGCTTCTTGCTCCTTTACAACTGCCAAAGCTTATTTCGCATTTGTCACTGGTGACTTTATTAGCATGGTCTTTTTGCTTTAAGTAGTAGTAATAGTTGCACTTTAGTATTGCCACAAACTGTTGATGGTATCTCCATTTCTGTATTACTGATTACAATTCAAATTTGAATGTGATGCTATATACCTACTGGAATAATCTGATAGCCAAAAGTGTTAAATGAATTAATCAGAAACAAAATGCTTATATAAGTTCCTGATTCATGCAAATTTATTGATTTGGTGGAATTCATAAAATAAAAAATATAAAAAGCGAAAGTGTTAATAATTTAAACAGTCCAAAACCGATTATAAACTGATTTGAATGAATTTACACTGCTAATGATTATAAATTTTTTAAAAATTATTATATATCTATAAAAATAAGTCTTCTAAAGAGCATTACAGCTTTTGAATAATTATAATAAAACAACCAAGTTTATATTCAATATGTTTTAAGAAAAATACAGTTTTTGAAATCATGTTTTGAAGCTAATTTATAACTTTTTATACAAATAATTATGTGTATTTGAAATTGTTCATTTTTCCTAACTGGGTAAGAAGTAAGCTGATGCCATCTAGTTAGTTGCATTAAAAATAAATAACCAATCTCTCAAGGTGTAGACCAGCAAAATTATGAAAACATTTATAGTTTGTATACTTTACTGTTGCACAGGAATTAACTGTAGTACATTAATGCGACAGTATTTGAACAACAAAAAACATTTTTATAATTATAGCTTAATATTAACAAACACGAATGCTATTGCAGTAAAAAAGTTAAATACTTAAAATTGAAAAGTTTGTGAAAAATTAAAAAACAACGAATTGTCATAAATAATATTGTGTGTCTGGATTACTATAGTCTTTTCATAACTTAAAATCAGAGTGTCAGAGTTGGAGATTTTTCCTGAAGTCAAAATTTTGTGAGAAACTAGAGTGGAATAATTTTCATCCAACTCCAAATAATATTAAAAAATTTGAATTATTTTTATTCTAAATATATTTTTTACAATCTTGTTTTATAATGAAAATAAATGCTAATAATGTGAATAAAATCACGTGCTTTGTGAGAAACATAAATATGAAAAATTTTATTACAATTACATTGACTGATTTCAATTGTTTTTAAAAGCATTTTTCACTTAGTAGTGACAGTTAATTAAAATAATGATGCAAAAGTTGAAAAATTCTACTGGGATTTAGAATTTTTTGAGGGGCAGGATCCAACTCCAGCAACCCTCTTAAAATTGACATTTTTAGTTTACCTTTATTTTACAATTACATGACTGAGTTTTAATGCATCTATGATAGAATCTTTATATAAAATAAGGGTAAAATGTGAGATAGGTACTCCTATGGTATCATCCATGTACTTTTAATAAATTAACTCCGCCCATTTTGAATTATCTAGCGCTTGATTATTTATTTATATCAAATTGAAAATAATTTAATACAAGTTAATTCTTAGGTAAGTAATTTAATACAAGTTAATTCTTATGTAAGTTTTATTAGATCATTACTTGTCAAATATCAATGGCTTATGGAGTGGTTAACAGGGTTAGGGTTAAGGCCTCCATTTTTA